TCAACTCCCCTATGCAAAAATCTATTGCATATAAATAACAACTCCACAATTATAATATGGGAGAGTGACTACCTGAAAAATGATGAAAAATGATCAACAGCCTTAGGTGCTGCCGATGCCTTGATGGAGACAAGCCAAAAACGTGAAATGAAAAGATGTGAAAAAAACCCTCCTTAGCCATCATCCTGCCTTATCTCTAACTCACTGAGCCAGACAATGGGAAAATGTAAAGGCTCTGTTTGGGAATCAGACTAAAGTCAATTTTAAACTGTGTCTTTCTGTTTCCACTGAGAACAGGTAAATCTGTCTGTTTTAGTTTCTCTTTGTTCCTCATTTCTATGAATACGTCCAGTTTTTTGTGTGTTTCATTGTTGTGACTTTGTCAAATTTTATTTGATTTTTTAAAAAGAAGTTGGCACTAAAATTAGTTAAGTATTTTGGTGCACATTTCTCCAGTGATATACATCACAGCATTGTTTCTAAGTTTGCCTATTATACACAATGTGGGTCTTTTTTGGAGGGGGGGGAATCTACTAATGCATTTCTCCTACATTGTTTTAACAAACACATGCATTTTTCAATAAACTGTTCCCTAATTTACATTCTTTATTATTATTTGTGAACAATACTGCAAAATTCAGGGAATTGCAAATTTCAGATGATAACTAAGTTTTGTTTCATGTCTTCCTTTGTGAACTAAATTAATCTCTTCCTCATTCCTAATCCCCCCAATGGCCAACCAGAAATTTTGGGGGGGGGGGTATGAAGACCCATTGTACAACCTACAATAAATGACATTCTATTCCAAGGTAGACTGCTCTGGACTTCTGAACAGAAGTTCCATACAGATAACCTGATTGATAGTTGTTGACATGGAAGACAGATCTCAGAAGACAAAAGAGTGTGGGTGAATCTGACCATCTTTTTTCCCACAGTGGCCAATTAGATGCTTCTAAGAAGTTCCATCCATACATCTCCACTGCTTGTGGTATTCAGAGCTAAACTGTTACTGAATAGGGAGGCTCCATTTAACATTCAAGGGTATTGAGCACTAATAAACTTAGCTAAACATTTTGCCAACAACTGAACCAGATCAAAAATCTGCATTAGTCAGCTTTCTGTTTTCAGCCAAGATCTCTGAGTATGCATCTCATATGCAAAGACTGAATACTTCTTGTCCTAGAGATACGCTTTAATAACTGCTTCGCATTGGAAACATTGTAGGTTGTATTAGTCTATGGTAGAAAAAAAATCTATCTAATAGTACCGTTTCTGACTAACAATTTTTATTAAAAGGTATAAGCTTTTGTGGAAGCTCACAAAAGCTTGTGCCTTTTAATAAAATTTGTTAGTCTGACAAGGTGCCACCAGACCCTTACTGATTTTTACATAATAACTCTTCAGAACAGTCTGCTCATCCATTTTTAAATTAATTTGATCCACATCCTGGCCACATCTTGAGTTACTTAATGGAGTCAAAATTATTATTCTGCAATCTGTTGTGCAAAGTTTGGGGAATGACAACTGGCCAAGATGTGGGAAGGGTTGTGGCAAGAAGGAATAATCTTTTGCAAAGTTTTTCTAGCTTGAGGAAGCGCTCTAGCATTGTTGCTCATCACAGCAAGGAAGAAGGCAGTTGATTAATTCTCATGCTCTGGTCCACTTTCAAAATTTCTACTCTCAATAACAGTAGTGACAGTAGCAGTAATAGCAGCAACAGTGCTATTATTATTGTTATTATTACCTGATTTAGTCTTTCAATTTTGAGTGTCACCTCCAGAGATGCTTCGCAATACAGGGGAAATGTTTCATTTGCAAAAAAAAAAAGTTCTGCTTTGATTGAAGAGTTCAAATTATTTTAGGTTATCAGTTTTGGCTACTCCCTGTAAAGGACTATGATCTGGCAAGGTTTACTTAGTTTCAGACTAAATTTTGAGATAGTGGAGGTTTAGGAAGGTCACTGATGCTTGTACGTATTTACAAAGAAGTTGGGTCTTGTAAAGCGCTCCGTGAGCTGACAACATACTGTATACAATTCTCCATCTCGTGGGACTAAGTTTTAGATTGTGCTCAAATTAAGCTGTGGTGGAAGCTGATGATGGTCCTGTCAGGAGCTTAATTTGTCACAGCCTTACCCACACGAACACCATCAGAGAGATTAGATACTAACAGTCTTACACCCACAAACACAGTCTCTCTCTCACACACCACACATACACCCATACTAACACATGGTTCACCTTCTTCTTAGGGCTGTGAGGAAACGAAAAATTGGGGCTCCTTTTCAAAAGGGGTGTCTGCGGTCCCACTGCTCTTAAAATGGGTGTTGCCTCAGACCTCTGTAGCGTTAGCGTGAGAGCCAGTTTGGTGTAATGCAGTGTTTCTCAATCTCAGCACCTTTAAGAGCTGTGGACTTCAACTCCCAGAATTCCCCAGCCAGAATTCTGGGAGTTGAAGTCCACAGCTCTTAAAGGCGCTGAGATTGAGAAACACTAGTGTAATGGTTCAAGTGGTAGACTAGAAGCCAGCTGGCTTCATGTCTAAGGCAGGATTAGTCCAACCCCTTGCACCATCAAGCTAACTCTACAGAGATCTGAGACAATACCCATTTAAAGGGCAGTGGGATCACAGACACCCCCTTGAAGGTGAGGTCCAATTTTTCCCCAAGGAGGAAATGAAATGATGGGTGCTCAGATGCTGCTTCAAGTTCTTTGGGAAACAAGTGGGCAGTAAATGCAGTTAAAAAAGATAACCGTGCAATCAAGGAAAAGCCAAGAAACGCACTTCTTAGAGCTACAGCTGACAGGCAAGAGCAGGTGCGTGAAGCAAGACCCAGCAATTCAGACTCCAGGGCCGCTCCTCAGAGGACCTCAGTTCAAAATGCCTAGAAGCAGAGGAACCAAATTCAAAACGTGTTTCCCCAGTGCAAAAAAAGGCCAAGAAGAAAATCCTTAATTTGCTGAAGCGCCAAAATAAGGACAGGAAAGCTAAGATTAAAAAGAAGGCGCCTAGTTTCTTCCTACAGTATACACGTCTTCATGGTAAAATGCAAATTGTAATCTCTTCTTGGCTGGGGGGGGGGTCTATATTTTAATATGCATACACTGAGGAGAATTATTATTATTAGCGTTGCTGGTTCATTTTACATAGCTACTGGAAGAATAAAAATCCGTTAGCTGAATGCTTACCATTAGCTGCCAAAAGACAAACGAAATGTTTAAATGAAAGCACAGGGAAGCCCCTGCTTTGCCCATCTGCTTTCCCACAAGTCAGATAAACTCCACAAAAGATAAAAACGTCAGCCTAAAACCAGGCTCCAGTGAAGTTTGAAACCTTTCAAAGCCAGGTTACCCCAAGAACGCGGCTGTTCGTGAAGAAGAACTGAACTTTCCTTAAAATGGCTATCGCACAGTTTTAGTCTAAATGACATTTCAATCCTTATCTTTTTGGAGTACATTAAGGTCAATGCATTTTTATCCCCCTACAACACCCACTTCCATTATGAATCCCGGGGTTGCATTCTGGTCATACCACAGAATGCTCACAAACATTCAAACAGCAGAGCGGAAGGGTCCACAACAGAATCTTGACATTTCAATTTGCTGCAGCAATTTCTCTAGCAATCTAGAAGAAACCCCTGGCTGAAGTGTAATTCTGTTCTTTGGCACATGTGGATACCAAGACAGCTCAGCTGGGAAGACTCCCAAGAGATTCTGCCCGGCGCCAGCAATTCCTAGTGGAGGCTACTGTAAAAAAGCCCAGTTTTCAGTCCCTTGTCAGAGAGCGGGCAATGAAGTGTCAAAACCCTTCCCTTTTATTCCTTTTTAGCAAAGATTTCAGGCAAGAATGCAAGATGGACTAAAGGAATGTGCCCATCTCACCTGCCAACTTTGTGGTCCCGTGTGCCCGCTGGAAAAAGATCCAATTGGAAACAGGCAGGCAAAACTTGGGGGCAGGTTTTTATAAAATACAAAGGTATGGAAATGCATGCACCCGATCGCAGCTTTGCCATTTGCTGAGTAGGCTTTTATGGGAAGGCCCTGATCTGAAGCCTTCCCTTAAATCCATTCCTTTGTTTTCTGTCAATCCGGGGCTTTTAGGGCATCTTCCTTGTCAAAGATGCTTTCGCTCAGAGCATCCAGATAAATTAAAATTAAAAAATGGGGAAGGCTTGCTATTTTTGCTCCAGGGGAGCCCATGAAAGCCGTTGGTTTGGAAGGGCCCTCTCTCAGGGAAGGAGGCTGAATTGATGGGCCCACCTTACCCCACCCTGAAAGACAGTCTCCTCCTCGGTCCCAGACAGCAAAAAACTCAATTCCATTTTGGACTGGAGGGAAGGGGGGCTGTCTGAAGCCACCGATGTGCATCTCTCAGAATCGCCTGAGTCATTGCTTGGGGGGGGGGCGGCTGGGTGGAGACAGTCATGCACTACCACGCAAACACATACAGGCATATGAAAGCTTGCAACAACAGGTAAAGAGAGAGGGAGAGGCTGGGAGAAAGAGATGAAGCCTCACTCCCTGAGAAAATGGACCAGCCTTTCTTTCAGCTCTCCTTCCATTCTGGGGTGTGTACCACCACCCCAGCCTTTAGCAGGAGTTGGTGGAGAAAACAGCAGGGCTAAAGTCCAGGAAGCCAATGCAGCATTG